ACCTGGAATGAGGTACTTTGTCGAACGCTTTACTAAAGTCAATGAAATGATATCTACTGGTATCCTATCATCTTTAGGCTTAACCCAACTTTCTCTGGCTGTAAGAAGGTTCGTCAAACCATAGAAATTTCTCCGGAAAACCTTGTTGTGAACGAGACAATAGAGTGTTGCTCTCTAGGTGGACTGTGGTGGCTTTCTTGATTACTCTTTCTAGGATTTTCACTACAGTACTAGTTAAACTTATTGGTCTGTAATTTGATGGGGGCTACGTAGAACCTGCCTTGTGGATAGGTGTTACTATGACATCCTTATAGTCATAGGGGAGTGTGCCTTCAATGAGAAACAGTTTGGATATAGTAGTCAATGAACCGGCTACATAGAGTGCAAGCTCTCTGAGCAGTCATCCGGTTCCGTTGATTTTTCCAAATCGAGAGTACTTAATGTCCGAAATACATCGTTACGATCGACATCCACAGAGTTCATTTTCTTTTGGATATTTATGCTTCTACTGTTGGATAACTGTCCACAGAAGATTCCTGTGTGAAGACCTCGACAAAATATCCAGCCATGACTTCTGCTTTCCCCTATCATCCTCAGTCAAACAGTCATTTTCTGTCCCATTGATTAGGGCGGGTATACCACGACACATCCTACTTCTATCTTTCATATAGGAAAATAACCTCTCCGGATGTTGGAGGACAGTGTTTCTGTCCCCTCAGGACAGTCCCCGGAATGAACGGTTGGGTCACTCGCGCATACAACTGTTTGAAGGAGCACCACGTATCTTCAACTGAGGCTTCTGGAATGACCGTCCAGTCCTTCGAAGAGGCTGCCAGGTTAATGGCTTCCATATTCGCTTTCCATATGTTGGGTCTAGCTGGGGCATCGGCCTGGTACAACGCGTCTGCTGTGAATCTGAAGATGATCATAGCGTGATCACTTTTACCAAGGAGTGCTAGGTGCTGCATGAAACACATCATCTGTATGTGAGAATACTAAGTCTAGAACTGATGGAGCATGCTGATGATCATATCTGGTTGGTGTTTTTATATGCTGTATGAAGGCTAAGGAAATTGATGTTTTCACTAACCGGTGGTCAAATGAATTACGTGGTGCTTTTGTTGTCAGTCTATCCCAGTAAACTGATGGTGCGTTGAAGTCTTCTACGGCATTTATCTGTCTAGAGGGTCAGCTTATTCAGTAGGAAGTCTGCTGCCTCACAATCATGGCTTCGATATATTACGATACGTTAACATTTTGCCTCTTGCATTTTAGTCGGCAGCGCAGCATTTCATACGTCCCACTTTCATGTGCAACTGTTTCTACGGCTTTTACAGTTAAGTTATTCTTAACATAAAGGATGACGCCACCACCTTTGCGAATCCTCGTAGGTGTGTTCCACAGTCACTGGTCCAAGAAGAGAGCCAAGTTTCTGAGATAGCAATGATATCAGGGCTTTCGTTACTAAGCTCAGTCTCCTTGTTTAAAAGACTACGTGCATTTGTGTACAGGACAACGGAAATATTTAAATGAATTTCCGTCCTATCCATAGAGGCTTCGGGATCATTTGTTGCCGAAACCTCACTACACAAACCTACTACTTTCAGATCTTGCTCTCCAGCTGCTAATCTGGATTTTAGTTCTCCTTCTGCTTCTAGTTTTTTGATTCGATCAGCAAGAGCCAGATCCTTTCGCATGATAACTCCAGATCCTTGAAGTCTTCGGGATCTGATTCCTCTCATCTGCTGACTTGAACACGACTTTAAGTAGCCGGAACTTATTTTCGATAATGACTACCTCCTGATTGCCTACTCTGTATACCTTGAGTAGGGTGACTCCTGGCATATTTTCTGGTAAAAGCTGGCTTATCAACTTTGTACCTTGTTCGAACGTTTACGCCGCTCTGGGTCTCCACTTTCTTCCACTCTCTGGAAGATTACGGACCTGTCAAAGCGCTCTACTTTGTCTTTGCTCTGTGGAGTGATTATAGCTGGTTCAGCTACCGTTATTGGATCCTTAGCATGCTGTTTTTCAGAGTCCGGTATGCAAGGTTTACTAAAACCTAGTCCAGCGCCCTTGACACTGAGAGCCTCAGAACGGACATGCATCCCATGCTGTGTGATCTTCGTCAATGATTGGTTCGCCGAACTGCATGTTTCCATCGCTGGGACTAAGTGCGCTTCACCCCTATTTCTTTCATCTGAAGCAGACCTAGTCTTACGGTCAGCGGTTTTCAGACTGGATCTGCTAGCTTTGGGAATGTGAGATCCAGAAGATACTCACTCACCCTACTTGGTATAGTTTATTCCAAGTTGCTGTCAGCAAACCTAGTAGGTAGTCTACGCACACAACTTACAGCTTGTCGTCGGACGTTCTTAAATTTTGCACAGCAATCTGTGTGTCAATGGATGCTGTGTCGTCATCACTGTCACAGTTATCGACTTTGACTTTCGATGACAGTTTCTTGGTTATCGTATTTAGAAATGTTTTTGCTTCTTCTACTAGAGTGCAAATATCCAAGAAGCACAACGTATAAAGCCAGACACTTCCTGCGTTGCTGTACCTCTTATATGCTGAGGGTGGGAGGCTTGTGCAGTCATCGTGGAACCAACTCTTACATTCGCTACACTACATACCAGAGGCCACTGTGTAAAGGCACCCGACCCTACCACAAGCATTTTTACGACACTTTTGGCTCACCATGAAGCAGAAACTACAGAAATTCGCCCAGTGAAAGTTCCTGTCTCACTTTACTTGATTAATACCCCGATTAGAGCAAAAATACATCAGCCTTTGATGTGCAAACACAAAAAATGACAAGAGTCTAGCTGAATGTGAAAAGTCACTCCCCTTTTCAAACGGCGCGTTGAAGCTTTTAGGCAATATATGTTCTCAGAACTTAACGCTCACAGAGTATGCTCAGCTTATATCTGAAAGTAGGCATTTGGTTGGTCCTTTACTGAAACACAACTTTATTGGAGCCAGTTGACTTTTATTCAAAGTAATGATCCGCCGGTATTTGGATACGGCCAAATCACCTGTGGTAACGCGATGCTTCTGAAGGAAACGCGTTGAAAACATTCAATGCGAATTTACTCACTGTGTACCAAGCCATCATGAAGGACTTGATTATGAGGGAGGGCACCAGAAATGGAACATTGACCGGCTTTGGCTAAAATGCCTGAAGCTTTCTCTTTCCACCTTCATACGGCATTACTCGTGCTAGTCGTTAATAAGTGGTCGCACTCAAACAACTATGGTTAACTCAGTGTTATCTACGCCTATGTTCATCGCATGTAAGGTTGGACAGCGTATTATAATAAGAACTCATGTATATCTGCCAAAGAAAATACATCACAAGTACAAAAGTAGAGGCTACTGCAGGTGTTTTGAGCACGTTCCAAAAGCTCAATTATTAAGTGTCTAATAGACGCAGAAGGACGTAAGCCTTGATCTGTATCTTGGTCGAAACTATTGTAGTCATAAGGCTCAAACCAGATTAGGGTATTCAAAAAGAAGCGGGAGTTGACCGATCACTACTCTGATAAGTAGTGTACACACTCTCCTTCTGCTCAGTTACGTCATCCTTATTAGTACTGACCGTTTCTCAATGCATATTAAGCTTTGATTTTGTCTCATGAGCTCACTACACCATACTTGGGTTTCTGCATTACTATAAACGTATCTATTCACCGGGTTTAATTACGCAATCCCTTTTCCAAATCCAATAAATATACTTGTTGCTACCTTTGTAAATTTCCATTTGACAAAAAGATTATATATATATGTATATCCTCAGGACTCAATAAACATTAAGTTAAATTGACAACTGCACACACTGCGTCACATAAATACCTCGACACAATCAACATGGTATATCTGGCAGTCAACTCACTGCAGGCTTCAGAATCTTTCGAAGCTACTTGTGATAAATATTCCAACTCAGTTTTCTGTACAAAATCCTATTTCATTTTGTGTTCAAAACACTGGAGAGGCTATGAATTCGCTTAAAGTCTGAAGAAACTATGAGAAGGAAGGGATCGTACCTGTTTCATGAACAAGAAGGATCGGAAGTCCCTTTTTTTCTTCTTTAAAGACTACCAATTAACCTAATCGTTGGAATAACTACGTGTATAATCTAGTAAAAGAAACGAAGAATGAAAATAAACAGCTATGAATAGTAAACTAGGCATTGTCAGAACTACGGAAAAAATAGCCCGTTGTGCCATGCACAACGTTTTTCACACACTACTGGAATTTCGAGATAAAAGTAGTGCATAGTTTGCTACTTTAATCTTGTGATGACTGAAATAGGTTGTAATCACTCAGTTCTATTTCGACCCTAAACACCTTCAACCTGATCTTAACCGAAAGATGGCAGTCATCGAACTGTATACACAAGCACATTGACGCGTAGTTTTTGTCACAATAAAGAACACTGAGTAGTACGTTTCAAATCAATTCATCTAGTGCTTCTCAAGACTATATCACCTCATCAGTATACACTCAGCAGATCATTCTCATTTGTCTAATTGACTGTCGTGGAGGAGATGAATCTAGTATTGCAATGCAATAATATCCAACAAGTTGTTGCCCGTTTGCAAATCTTTTGTCCTGGATTAGTGACGATGATCTTCTCACCCAATACTTGCGAATAGGAAGATAATTGGTCGTACTGTGATGTGATTTCTAGTGGGTAAATAGTTAAATCCGAAACTCCTATCAATTCTCTCGTACATTGTATCCTAAAAACCACTTAGAAATGTACGTCAGCACTAATATGTGTATATCATAGGCTCCACATAATGCAATTCTTCTCCCATCTAAACACTCCGGAGTTAATTTGGGAATTATGCTTCCATGAGTTGGTTTCTATAAATTGTCACATTTATTCTTGCACAGTGCGCCTCCGTAATGCCGTTTACATGAGTGAAGGCAATGACCTTCAATCTATAGGCAAATACAATAAATTTTCAAAATTCAGTTGTTTAAAAAATTTTTTTTTAATGATAATCGCTTTATTTCAAACAATATGTATGAGTGTGGAATTCTCACCATGTAATATTTCAAAAAATTCACTCCCAGAATAATACTTTCAGAAGAAACAGTTATTGCATCTGATTGATGTTAATAATAACAGTATTATTCAAGGCAACAGTGTGAAATAACCAGCTGGTTCTGGATGGACATCCGGTCCATAATGAAGAATCAACAGAAATGCAATCGTAATATTGGTAGTGGAGGTTCATTCAACCGGTACAAAAATCTATAATTCAAGCTAAGTATCTGACGGATAGAAATATGATGAACTTTTGTGCACTGAAAGTTCACTTCCATATACTGTAACATTTTTTGTCTGTTTTGTGATGAACTCGAGAAACGGAGAGTAGAAAACAGTTTAAAAATGTACAAGAGTACATGATACATTCAAAGGATATATTTGCATGATTAAAACAAATTGAAAGGAAAAAATTTGGTGAAAAATGTTTCAGTGGATAATTTTGGTAGCCCAAGGTTCAAGCAGGCCGTCGTAAGTATTATCTCAAGTGTGCACTTACAAAATATGTATACAAGGCATGCAACGTCAACACTGTACTTTAAATATAATTGATAATACTAATTAAGAAAGGAATATCCATGCAATAAACCCACAAAATGGTCACTTCCATCGATTATCAACATTATATTCGTATCCACAACAATCACTATGAGAAATAAATCAAGATATACTGGTATAGGATTATATTTACACTAAATCATTTAAGAAAGACGATCATTTGCAAAACCATATACAAAAACACCTGATGACAAATTCATTATGATAAGGACTAAAAAGAAGAGACGACTAGGCAAATTCATTCAAGAGAGAAACAATTCATAAATACTTTAACTATAAGTAAACAAGTGTTAGTCAAACAACAAAAATTACCTACAGATAATGCTGAATGCCTAAATATATCGCAATTATTATTACATGTTAATTTAGAATATTAAAAATGTGAATACATAAGCATAGTAAGTCACTTTTCAACATGGGACATCAAACTGAACACAACACAATGAATCAGTAGGAAGTACTGTAAACTTTGCAATGGAGCCTGATGAAAAGGGAATGTGAGACCACTGTCAAAAACTAGGTGACCATCATCCATAAGCGACCTAATGTATAAACTACATTAGTAATAAAAAAGAAAAGAGACAAAACAAAATCAGATTTACGCGAACAATCAAAATAGGAAGAGACATTTTTTATGAATTAGACAACAAGATTTCAAAAGTAGGTTATTTAGTAATCTCTATACGTCAATATTAGAACCTAGAAGATCTGGATTTCGCCGATGACTTGTGCCTGATGTCACACAAACTTGAAGATGTACAGGCGAAAACTAACAAGTTGACAGAAGAGGCAGCGAAGACGGGACTTCAGGTGAATATAGAGAAGACAGAAGTGATGAAGGTACCGCACCACCACCAACAACAAACTTCAGTCACCATCAACGGAGAAACTTAAAGGAAGTAACCTCCTCCACCTATCTAGGCAGCACTGTTTCAATTACAGGCAGCATAGACGAGGATGTCAAAGTCAGAATCGGAAAAGCAAGACAGGCGTTCATTAGCCTGAAACCAGTGTGGAGATCTGCACTCAGCATAAAGCGTGAACAAAATCCTGATTTTCAACACCAACGTCAGGTCAGTGCTTCTGTATGGTTCAGAGACTTCGCGCGTCACGAAAGGCATTTACAATAAACTACAGACATTCATCAACAACTGCCTACGCTGGCTCGTTACTGAAGATCAGATGGATTGCCAGAAAGAATAAGCAACAAGGTGCTCTGGGAACGAACCAACCAAGAACCTATCACCCAACAAATATGCAGGAGGAAGTGGAGATGGATTGAGAAGGCCGACTGGGGACATCACGCATCAGGCCAGGTACTCGAGTGGAATCCCCATGGGAAGCGATGAGTTGGATGTCCGAGCGTGACATGGAGGAGATCGTGCGAGGAGGAAATGAGAAGTTGTGGGCTGTCGTGGAGCCAGGTTCAAAAGGTTTCAGCGAACAAAGGTCACTGGAGACGTGCTACTGAAGCCCTATGTTCCATTAGGAACCCAGGGGACTAATAATAATAATAATAATAGTCAATATTGTGTTGCCTTGATTTCTTTCAAGTAAGATTTCCTTTCACTTATTATGAGATGATAATAGTTTGAGGACAGTCATATGCACGTCTGCAAATTAGCCAGCTGGCAACATTTCCTATGTAAAGTCATACTTAGTTGTTTAAACCTAAGAACTATGGGTCTACTTGGTGATGGAAGTCTGAACTGTTTCAACAACATGCTGGTCATTTAAATTCAACCTAGTGAAGTAATACCAACACCCGAGATTGAACAAGTGCATGCAAAGATGGATAAATTATTTTAAATTGTCATGGGATTACTCTCAGTTTACTGCTATCAAAAAAATTTCCTCTCCACCTCCAATATAATCAAATCACTTTCCTATTCAAAGGAAACTAATACACTGGTGTAACAGTGTTCTCCGATAGTGATGTTCACTGTCACCTGTTTTATTTTTGCTTTAAAGTTATACCAATGAATTCACAGGCATTGACTTGCTATCAGAAGAGTGATCAACTGAAAAATTAATCTCATCACTTCAAGACTGATGAGATATAACGTCCAGTAAACGCATTGATCCAAAAATATGTTTGGCGGATTTTTCGCATCTCTATTGAAAGATGGGCGGAAAAGAAGTGGCAACTAGAGGTGAGATACAGGAAGACATTACAAGTTTTTTACTATAACTGTCTAATAAACATCATTCACTCATATGAAATGAAACCGAGGAGTGAGCCAAGAATGATGGGAATAAGTATAGAAAAGTTGGCTATAGCAGTGAATGGAGTTGCACACCTTTGTCGAATGAAGTGGCCTGGACAGGTTTTAACCCACCAACTTTCTATACAAGCAATGTTAACTGAAGTACAATTGGGTTGAAAGAAGGCCAGGGTGATAGACAGAGAGAACCAACGTAGAACCACGACTGAAAATCATCAGCTCAAGTTACCAAGCTTCACAGCGGCAAGTAAAGAACAACTGGGTAAGAAAAGAGGGATATCAAAATAGAAAACATTACATGAGAAGAAAAGGAATCTGAGAATCCAGGTTGGGGAAAATAATCAAACCTTCAAAGACACTTGAGAGTGAGTTCACTTCTGCCAATATGTGGTCAATTTTCAGCGATGTCACTAAGGGTCTTCAACCAATAATTTCCATTATCTCGACGACCATGATATTCAGTACGTTTTAGGAACAGCGGTGAAAAGAATTCGTGACCTACACCCAAAAGTTAGCAAAAATCAGAGGATTGTGGCAACCTCATCCGAAGTGATTGATGCCAGAAGACTCATTCCAGCTGCCTTTGACGGCAATGAAAAGCGAAAGCAGCTCACACTTGACCACGAAGAGTGGTAGGGTGCGAATGTGGCATAGATAGAAGGCATCCGCATTAGGTAATACTCGATAGTTATTTCGGCTTATTGAAGACAATCGTAAAAAGAAGACGATAGTTATTGAGACAAATGCCTAAAATGATAGGGCATCTATAAAGTCTCCAGGCAGGTGGCTGGAATACTTTAAAGAACAAAGTTCAACTGGCTACCATCAACATCTTATTTGCCCAGCACCCAGCTGCAAACTGAATGGGATGTAGATGCCGGTCCTCCAACTTTCCTCGCAGTTAACAAGGCTGTTTCGAACCTGAAAAGCATCTGGACCAGACGGTTTGGAATCCGAAGTTTTTAACAATAGAGGTAGGAAATTACTGAGTAGAGTAACAGAGATACTAGTTAGTATATGGGAATCGAAGATACTCCCATCGGACTGGTCCACTTCAATAATCATTCCAGTCTGTGTGAAGAAGAGGGGTCTTCTTGTGACAACTAATGAGCAATCAGTCTAAAAAACATCGTATCCCAGATACATGGGTTCATAGCCATCCGACGCCTAACCAGAGCTTGAGGAACTCTGGCTGGTTTCAAACCTTGACGACGCGCATCGATTAGACTTGAATCCTGTGACAGATTCTGACCTGACGGCGACACTCAACTCTATCCAGCGTGAGTTGTTGTGGCAGTATCTGGCTGTGAAATGAGTAACGAACAAGTATGTAACGCTAATCAAAGCTCTGTACTCAAACTCAAGCAGCCATGTAAAAGATTACAAGAAGTTGTCATCTGAATTGACGAAAAGAATGGTGTTCGTCACGGACACCTGCTGTTACCGTTCCTTTTTAACTTCGTTATAAATTTAATATTGGATATGACCTAAGGTACTTATGACCTCCCAAGGAGGACATCTGGTTAAGCTGGAGTAAGCAGAGAGCATTGCCCTGTTAGGCAAAGACGCTGACAAAATGCAGAGATTTCTGAACGTCTTCAGAAGAAATCTCAGTAAGCTTGACACACGTTTTGCACTTGCAAAATATAAGACGATGCTTCCAGACTGGTCTGCAACCAGTCCAGGTTTAAGGATACGGAGTGCAGTGGCAGAATGCGTGAACCACTGGACTTACCTGGGAAGTCACATCCGCCCAAACAGGATGGTTGTTGACGAACTCTCAGCTAGGATACAGAAGGCCCATATGGTACTTGTCAACCAGCGTCGTCTCAGCAGCCAGCTGGCGACACACATCTGACTATCTACTAAAGGAAGAGTGCACTGTGCTACAGTCCGTATTGTCGTGTCAGACAGGGTTGTTGGAAGTAGATCTGAAGAAATTATACGTTTCAAACATAGATGTCTTCGCAGCATTGCCTGCGTATGGTGGAATAATTGGATGAGGCGATGTTTTCTTAATTTTAGGATTGATTTCGCGAAACCTTAGACGGTTTAGTAAGGTTACTTGCATTTCTTTGTCACTGTATGCATTGTTTACACGGGTGTTAACATACGCTTTCATTCTCTTCCATGAGTTTTGTTCGCGCCTATTTGATATTCGGTAACCCAATGTATTTGCACACCAATAAGTGGATGAAAACATCTCGCATGTTAAACAACATATGCGGAGTTTAAGTCTTGCTGAGGACACCAACACCCACTGGGATGCAGATACATTCAGCTGTTGTATCCCAACAGGATGAAATATGAAGTCTGAATTACACTTTCAATCACCAGTAAGTGTATTAAAGATGTAATCGCTTACATGATGGAACCATTTATCTAAATAAGTAGTTCATCATGATAGAACAGAGCACAGAATGCCAGTCAACCCTCTACCTCAGCTTCATCGACTTTGAAAAGGCCTTCGACAACGTCGATCGACAAGTAATTTGGCAGGTAGCTAAATCAACACTACAGTTTCAGTACCACAAACCTTTATCAACCTCATTCAACAGCTATATGCTATGCTATATGATGCTACATGCCAAGGCCAAGTGATTCAAAATGAAAAGCTCAGTGATGCGTTTGAAGTGAAGACAGGAGTAAGACAAGGTTGCCGCCTACTATCATCACCGATGATCTTGCTGATTGTCGTCGACTGGACTGGAGTGGATCATGCAACAGACAACTGTGAGGAGCTGTGAGAAGATGGGCGTAGGCTGACTGGACCGATGAAAAGATCCCAGAAGGAGATTTGAATTTTGCCGCCGATGGTGATTTATGTCTAATGTCTTGTTGCACAAACTCGAAGATCTACAGTCGAAAACTAGCAAGTTAGCAGAAGAGGTGAGGAGAGGCGAGGCGAGGTGAGGCAGCGAAGGAAGACAGGACTTCCTTCAGGTGAGTGTATAGAAGACAGAGGTGATGAAGATACCCAACCAACAGCAACAACAAGAAGAACAACAGTAATCACCATGAACGGGAGAAATCTGAAGGAAGTTGTCTGTTTCACCTACCTGACATCTAGGCAGCATCGTTTCAACTACAGGTGGCGGTGACGGCGTTGGCACAGATGAGGATGTCAAAGCCATGATCGGAAAGATAGCGAGACAGGCCTTGATTAACCTGAAATCAGTGTGGGGAGATCTACTGTACTGTACTGTACTCCACTCCACTTAGCATGAAGAACAAGATCTAAATTTTCCACACTAATGTCAAGTAAGTCAGTACTTGTATGTGATGTTTCAGAGAGTTGGCACGTTATGAAAAGCATCTCCAACAAACTGCATACATACATGAACAGCTGCCACCTACGCTCACTCGAGACTGACAATGAAGATCAGATGGTCAGAATAAGCAAGAAGGAAGTGTGGGTGGCTGGCAACGAAGCAACCAGTAACCTATCACCCAACAAATGTGGAGAAGAATGTGGAGATGGGATGGATTGAACCGTTTGGGTACATCACGCGCTAGGCCAGGCCGTCGAGTGGAAGTCGAATGGGAAACGACGAGTTGGGCGCCTGAGGCGAGGGTGAGATGAAGGAGATAGTGTGAAGAAGAAAAGAAAGCTTGTGGGCAGTGATGGAGCCAGGTTGAAAAGACTGGAGAGAAGAGAGTGGAATGTCGACGTGCTACTGAAGGCGTATATTCCACTAGGAACCCAAGGGACAAATAATAGTTCATACGTCAATGAAAATAAACTATTTTTGTCCAGTTAATTCATCGACAGTTGAAGAGGGAGATAAACTCCAATAAAAGATGCTAGTGATAACTTATTGGTAAAGTTTTAAATATCTATTGTACATTATGAATTGAATTTGTTGTTATAAAATGGAATACTGGTGAAACTCATCATAAATTCACTTACTTTGACGTGAAACCACGAGAATGAGTAACTTTAAATATAGCTGTAGTAACAAAATGAAAAAAAAAATATGTAAACAATGAATGAATTTAGTATTGACAAAAAAATACTAACCAGTGTCTATAAATCTAATGGTAAACAAATTATTATTTTAGCGCATAATTTAACGACATCATTGAAATCGATATGCATATACTTAAAGATTACAACATGAAATATAAAGGTTGCATATCTATCTGAGTTAGGATGCTGTTTCAAATTATATTTATTTATTCTATATTGTGAGCAGTGATACAGCATTATTTACTGCATGACATTTCGAGCAGAATTAATAAAAGATGATTCAGCGAAGAGAATTTCCTTCTCAATGAATCATTTTAATCTGCTCTTATGGAGCTGGTTATATAGGCTGTACAAAGTATGTTCTATCCAAACGTATCTTTGAACACTATCCTCCATGGCTGTCTAAAGGAAAGTGTAAAGCTGTCAACAGCTCAACTTTTAAGCATTTGATTATCTCTGGTCACTGTTCTCTACAACAGTCCTGTTTCTACGTCGTTTATTAAGTGAAAGCAAACATTTCCAAGCGAGTGCATATTCTCCCCCTAAATACAATAGAGGCTTTGGTAATCCAGTGATATAAGTCTGATCTTTGTGTTCAACAAAGGTACGTTCAATCTCTAATTTTGAATTGATCGTAATCTCCTTAAGACACTTAATTCATTTCTGCGTTGGTTTACTGTAATCCTACGAGCAGTTTGTAATGACCTTGACGTGACCTTCTAGAAGTCATCACCTTTTGAGCTTATTGACCCTGTTTGATGATTTTGTATTGACCCATTAGCCACTGATGGACATATATAGTTGTAACTATGATTACGATGTATAAATTTGAAAGGGATTTGTCGAAAAGAAAATTTTCTTCGGTGAGTTATCTTTTATCAATTTTCATTATCTAATGGGACCGTTTCGAGCAAAGTTGATTGCTCGTCATATCACAGTAATCATATAATTCTTAAACTTCACCTTTTTCATTCTTTCTTTTAAGAGATTCGTTCACCTGTGCACTGAGATTACACTACTAGAAATCACTGAGATGAGTAGCATACAAAGGTTTCAAAAAATAAAGTATACAGTTCCAGGTATGTTATGCTTTTATTTGTTTACACTATGCTATGTACATTTCCAAACATAAATGGTCTAACAGAAATCCAACTCAGTGGTCACACACGTATTCATTCAATAAACACAAAGTAATGTGATTAAGAGTTGAGTGCAGACAAACAAAACTCAGGAACAAAGCAGAATCCCACAGAAATGTGCAAGGTGTCAGGTTGCCATATTACAAAAGAACAAAAACAGAAAGAGTAGATATAAACAGCTAAAATATACACTTGTGTTGAGCAGGAGTAACAAGAATTGATCTAGCACGCATTGGTGACTAGCTCCGAGAGGTGATTCCCGAAGTTCCAATGAGAAGTCGTGACCGGTGGAGTCAACTAAGTTAAACATGAGGACAGTTACTCAAAGACGACATTTGATGTAGGTCGCGCTAAATCATGGACTGACAGAAGTGGGAAATGTGGACCATTAGGTTCCGACGCAGTGGCTCAATGGTAACGTGCTTGCCAGGGAACCTGAAGGTTATGGGTTCGATCCCTGACGCAGTCGCAGGTGCGCACTGTTGATAAGTCCCATACTAGGACGAAACAGCCGTGCAGTGCTCCCGTGTTTCCGATGTTCCTCCAAGTGATGTCAGTCCATGATGAATTCCAACCTAACATGAAAACTCACTGAATTTTCCAAATAGCAAGTGATAATACCACAATTATATGTGACAGACAATCTAGTGTTGAAATGAACAAGCTTCAGTTTGAAGCACTACCCTTGCTTTCAAATTTTATATCCCGATTAAAAAGGCGAGTCAAATCGACACAGTTACAATATCTCCATCATCAACTGTCTGAATTAAACTCAACCAACAGCGACAAAAGTGGCTGGTTCAAATTTGAGCTCGTCGAAATTGCATAATCAAGAACTCGTTTGCTTCAACAGCAAAACCAACCCCCCTTTCTGAACAGCATTCAAAATCCTTAAATGACAACGAAGATAAAGTAGTTTTGAAAAGAGACAAAGGATGAGATATCGTATTCACGAATACGATGTTTGTGATACTAAATAATCTGTCTACGTTTTTATCTGACAAATCATATAATGACATGACTTTAGCAACAGAGAAACAAGTGACGAAAGAATTGAGAGATCTTCTGAAGAAATAGTTGACTGACAAGTCAATCTATAATGACCCAGGACTCAAAGAGTCACATTTTTCTTTTCTGTATGGTTTATCAAAAACGCATACTAATTACAAAAACCACTAAGGCTAATATTGCCAATGATGGATTCTCCTGTTCACAAACTGATCAGGTGTTTAACTGAGAAACTGCAGCTGATTCCAGTGAAATTATATGTGTACAGATTGAAGAATCTTTATGAATTCAAAAAGAAAATCAACATTTTGAATATTTACGAAAGTTTCTGGCGTTGTTTGGTATATTCTCTTTATTCATTAGTGTCCCACTCGATAAAGCAATCGAGATTGTTTACCGACGAACTAATTTACACTCTCTTCTTAAAGAAGACATAAAAACAATTTCATCACTATGCATAACAAACATCCAATCACGCTGTAATAACAAAATCTGATAGAGTAGTCATATGAAGACCACTTGCCGGTAAAATATGAGCGTTCTAACCGCTTCAATTTTTCCCATCAGAATGAGAGATGATGGAACAATCGACAAAGCATTTATAGTAAGGATATTTGGATGAGTTGGTATTTAAATTACGACAAATAGATAGAAAAAAGGTGATATGAAAGTGGACAAAGTTGTCTGGCAGAATAAACAGCCCTAAAATAATGGTTAGAGCAAATATTCAAGCTTTAGATATCAAGGAGTGAGTAAATCTGCGCCATGTCACCAACATTCTTCAAATACTGATTTCTTTCGTCTCGTTGACCCCAACCAGGCAGTCTTCCTTCCCCATACGGCTCAGACCAATACTAAGAGACTTCATCGACTGGCCCTATGTCTTAGTCTGGTTACCCTGAACCCTCTTCCAATCTAATCCAAATTCCCTTAGCATGGCACGTCGAGGTAGGCGGTGAATCGACATACGTAGCACATGTCCAAGCCATCTCGGCCGATGAAGGTTCACAACCTCATAGATCAACCTGCCTTTCTTGCGTAGTACTCTTCGGTTGACCTCAACTTTTCTCACATAGTGATTTCAGCAAACGCAGGCAGTACTAAGTAGACAGACACCCGCGGTCGAAAACTTGGGACCGCTTCATATCTTCTAACTTTAGCGCCCATATCTCACAGTTGTGTGACAGGATAGAATGGACTGAAGCGCAGTATACTCGTCCTTTGATATATAGTTGGATATCTCGCCAGTTGGTTCTACAGATGACGCAATTTGGCAAATGCCGAGCTGGCCTACTGTATCCGAGTTGAGATTTTGTCAGCAACTAGCCTGTTTGGCGGGTTGATGCAAATCTTCATGTTAGTGAAGTGGTCGACAAACTCCATCACAGCACTCCCTGTCAGTTGGTCATATCATTCTTTGGTGTAGAGAAGAAACTATGTTCTGAGGATAAATTATATGACAAGCTGGCTCTTCTCGACGCATTTCAGACAGTGCATATGCGAAGAAAATTACTAGCAAATAAGAAACGAGGAACAAACATAAGAATACTGCCACTACACTTGAGAAGTAGTTAATTTTATTCACTTGGCTTTTAAGAGAAACGCTAACTTACAACAAAGTGAACAAAAAATTTATGGGTTCTTCTTGCTAGAAACCACCTATCCAGTAGCTGAACGTGTTCCTGTGTGCAATCAAGCGAAATCAACCTGACCCCTAACTACAGGTGACTGCATCATCATCATCATCATCAAAATCAACATAGGACCAGGCATTACTGCGTAACGGTCCAAGTTGCCACATCTCATATCAGTGCGTCAAGTAGAAAGGTAGTGAGGTGAAAGATGAAGATAAGAAAATTCAGTCAGAAGAAGTATAAAGTGCGAAAAGAGAGAAAGGAAGAATGAGAGAATAGTGAGATTAGGTATAGCGTCGTTAAGATGAGGACAATGTGTGCGTACATCTGCACCACTGACATCGGTTCTCAGCCATATGATCACCTAGAGTCTCCAACCACTGGTTCCTCTTGTCCCGCGGACCCCAACCAACCAGTAGTCTGCATCGCCCCATATGGCTCAAACCAACAGTCAGAGACTTCATACATTAATGCCACATTTTAGTCTGGCTACCTCGGGCCTTTTCCCAGCCTGAACCTATTTCGGCCAATATTGTGTGATGGGGCGATCGGCGACTAGGCGTACATAACACGTATCCCAACCATCTCAGTCGATGAAGGTTCATAACCTCGTCAACAGATTTACCTCTACTCCCTAAGTTGGCAAAAGCAGGCAGAGCCTTTTGTATTCGTGCAGAGATTTCATTGGCCACTGAGCCACTACGGTTGATCCTACTTCCCAGGTAAGTGAAGTGGTCAACACACTCAATCACTACACTCTCTATTATTAGCAGTGGCACCGTTGAAGACCAATCCTGGGGCAACAATTTGCATTTGGGTGATGAGAAATGCATCTCAAACATTCTCAAATTCCCACTTAAATTGTCCAGAAGACTCTGCATCTTGTCCGCGTCTTCACTTAACAGGACTATGTCATCTGCATATTCTCAGTCTCGCGAAAATTCTCCTGCGATTAAGTCAACCTCGGTGTAATCGGGTGACGAGAGGAAGACATACATGAGAATATCTATGATAAGATTGAATAAGAATGGAGACAGTGGGCACCCTTGACGGACACCAGTCGATGAGCATAGCTTCCTGGACATCTCATCATAGGCTCTAACACGCCCATAAATGTTTAAGTAGAGAGCCTTCAATAAGGTAATGTACTTACTCGGCATGCCTTTCACTGAGAGACATTGCTATAAGACTTCTCAATC